GGGGTCACCATGAGTTGGGATCAACTGGATATCAATTGTTTTACCTGTTGATATGCTCAGAACAGTGCCGGATGTGTAGTAAGTACTCCAGAATGGAAGATATTATTAATAACATCAGTGTCATCAGAGTATCATCATGGCTGGGAGCGGCTGTGTTGGAAAATCAACACCCTTGTATGTAATCGGTCTCTAAATCCTGGGGTCCCCCTCCAGTCCGTTCCTCCTTCTCCCTCAGTCCTGGTCATTGGTGCTCTGTGCTCACTTCCCAACTGCCCTCTCTCTTCCTCTCCCTCCAGGCTCCGGCCCCCTTAAGCCCACCTCCACTTTACAGCAGTGATCCTTCTAGAGCATCCATCTCATCAGTCACTTCTGGGTCTTACAAACCACTCATGGCTCCCCAGTGCCTCTAGGGCAATGACCAAACATCTCCGCAAGTCACACGAGACACTCTGAGCTCCTCACTGATGGTCTTTTCCACCTATGTCCCCTCCGTCCCCCCAGGCTTAAGCCAACACGCACCACACTTGAACATGCTGGTACTGGGACCATCCTTCACTTCTCTTCTCTGCCCAGTGAACTCCTACACATCCTTCAATGCCGACCCAATTGTTCCCTCTTTGTCATACTTTCCTCAACAAACCCTTGCAGAGTTAATGGCATCTTGCCTTCTGCTCTCACAGCCCTCTGCAGCAATGTGGTGGAGTCGCGTATGACGTGAAGGTTGTGTGGTTGGACAGCACCAGGGCAGAACTAGAATGTTGTTACATTGCTCTGGAAAATCCCTTAGGAAAGTTCTCTCAGAGACCTTGAGAAGTGGAAATAAGCAAGGAGCCTAAGAGAGTGGCTAGAAAGCCTATTTGTATAAAAAAGGGGAGGGGGGAAGCAACAGGTGTTCACATCTTCTCGTGTTTGCGTCAGAGAAACAATAGTTTTTACCTGGGCTGAGGGAGGGTGTAGGGTGAATGGAGGGGGGTGACAAGATTTTAATGATATGCATTTGTATGTTGTTTGAGTTTTGAATTCTGTGAATGCATTTCCTATTTTTTGAAAGAGGAAGGGAGGGAGGGAGGGAGGAAGGAAGGAAGGAAGGGACTTCCCTTTAGAAGCCTCCTGTATTGGAGTCCTGCGACTGGTTCCAGGTGGTTTTCCCTCTAGCGTTAAATCACCCAAATGAAGTGGTGGGCTGGTGTTGCACACTCGCCATGTATGAAAAACATGTATCTTTAACAGTTAAATCACACCCAGTGTGGCAAGATGCCCACAGGGTAAGCTCTTCTCAGTGTCTGGAACCAACTGAGGGAACAGAGGGTCCCTGGCTCCCACGGCTGTCTTCCCGCTCCATGTCCCAGACATTCAGGCACTGAGGGGAACGGTGGGCTCAGTTGCCCTTTTTCTTTCTTTTTTTTTTTTGCTGCTGAGCAGATACACTTAAGTCCTAGTGGGTTACATGTGCCCATGATGCGCCCTGCTGTGCAGTATGGTGGTTTCACACTGGGGGAGCCCAGCCCAGTTGCAGGGAGGTAGTCAGGGAAGCTTCCTGGGGGAGGTGATGCCTGAGCAGAGCTGTGAAGAATGAGTAGGTGTGAGCCATGGAGGTGGACAAGATGTTCTCCAAGCCCCTTTCAGCACTGGTGTGCTAAAAAAAAAAAAACAAAAAACAAAAACACCAAAAACCCATTGCCCTCAAGTTGATTCCGATTCATAGCGACCCCACAGGACAGAGTAGAACTGCCCCCATAGGGCTTCCAAGGCTATAAATGTTACGGCAGTCTGCTGCATCTTTCTCCCTCAGAGCGGCTGATGGGTTCAAATTGCTGACCTTTTGGTTAGCAGCCGAGCACTTAACCATTGCACCACCAGGGCTCCTTGTGGGGTGCTTACTACTGTCATATGCACTTAGATGGGTGAACAAGCTCAGAGACGTTAAGTAGTTTGCCCAAGGCCACACAGCCAGGACAGGGTGGAGCTGGGATTTGAACCCAGGCTGTCTGACAAAGCTTTCACAAACCTTGGGAGTCTGTCCCTGCCCACCTCAGCAGTGGCCCCTCCCCTCGGAATCCCCCAGGCATCCATGGGAAGGGTTCGGAGGGCTGAGGAGGGGAGGTTGTCACAGTGACAACCACATCCTGTGACGGTTACCCTGGGGAGCGCCTGCTTTCTCTCTACCTCTGGGACAGGTGAACGGAAAACAGGCCCTGCCCAGCTCCACAAGGCAGGCAGGCGTGCACAAACCTGCCTCCCCAACTCTGACCCCTACCCTCAATCTACAGGGAAAGGGGGCATTGACCATTGTAGCTGGTCTACAATCACCACCTCTAAGCAGGTGGAGACGGGAGGACATGCCCATATTCCTCTGTAGGACTCCCATCCACAGCTCCCTCAATATCTTCCAGCCTTGTCTTGAACGCCTCCTGGGCTGAGGCGCTCACTACCTCTGGAGGCAGTGGTCCCTCTGCTCAGCAGCTCTGACCATAAAAATCCCCTCCCACTAACCTACCCAGCAGCCTTGGGAGCTTCTGGGAGCCCGGGTCAGAGCTTATGTGGCGCAGAACTCTGTCCCTGCTGAGCCAGGGCTGGTGTGCAGCAGACCAGCAGACCGGGGAGGCGTGTGGCTGCTAAATGCACACGCACTTCTGTCCCCCACATCTGTCTCCTCCTGTAGGGCAGACCGTGTGTCTTCTGTCCCCGTATCCCTGCCATCTGTCACAGTACCCGGGCCACAGTAGGCTTTCCAGTTCACCCTAACCTTCGTACCTCCATGGATAGGGCTGCGCTGCCATTGCTTCCACCACACACGCACGCACGCACGCACGCACGCACGCACGCACTGTTGTTGTGTTGGTGCTGTTGGTCTTCCACCCCGACCGTTCCTATAGAAGATGGCTTCCTACAGGACTTGCCTCTGACCCTCTGTCGGTAGCTTTCTCTGGACCCAGGAGCGTGCTCAGCACACACGTAAGGCAGTTTGGAAGTGCTGGGGGTGGGGGTTAATGCCCCTTAGCCAATGGCAGGCAGGAGTTGTAGATCAACATCACAACTCCCTTACCCCTTGGGTGAGACAACTCTGAGGTGTGTTCTACACACTCTTCCAGGTCCCCAGCAAGATTGACCTCAGTTGCCCACAATAGCAACCTGTTCATTGGCAGACTCTACACATTCTTCCTCCCTTCCCTGTCTCTCTTTCTCACCGATGCTCCTTGGTATCACCTGTTAAATAAACTACTTGCTCTCAAATCCTTGTCTCATCTGCAACTGGGGAAATCCAGCAGTGCCACACACAGACGCGCGTGCGCACACACACACACACACATGCAGCCGGGGTTCCGTGAGATTTCAAGAATCCTGAGTGCTCACGTGTGCTATAATCTCTCTCACCCCCTCGCTAGCTACTAATGGACTTAATAACTACGAATGAACACAAAGTAAAGTACGTGCCTTTGAGGGGAGATAATTGCCCTCTGAAGAAACCCAGAGCTCTTGTTAAGCTATCTTAGTGGGGCAAAGGGGGAAGGAATGCTCCTGACGACAGTAAACGTAGAACAACCATCGGGAGATTGTCACCCACCCTTAACAGGGGCAATGAATGATGTCCACTGCCCACAAGAGGTCTTCCACTTTTACTATCCCTTTTATTACCCCTTTCCCTACTCGCTTTCTGTACGTGCTGTCTGGCACGTAGACACGGCTGTCTTGTTAGTACACTAACCCAGGGTGGGAGGGGCTTCGGAGTTCTCCCACAGTGCAAAGTGCGGCGTGCATGGATGCGACAGACCAGCACACCCTGGGATGGGAGCCTAACCCTGGGGAACCTTGGCTGATGAGGATGTTTGCTGTTCTCCTCATCCCTGTCCTGTTCTTTCCGTGGGTAATAGACGCCTGTTGACCACACCATCAGAACAGTGTCTGGTCTGTGCTCTGCTCCAGATGGTCTTCACTAAGAACATGTGAATACAGTACAGGGCAAAGGACTTGTCACTCCACACTCCAGTTTCCTTCAGCAATTTGCTTTAATCTCAGAACAGGACACCAGAGCTTGGCCCCGAGCCCTCAGGCCTCTGTCTGGAGCCAGCCTGGACATGTTTGCGGCTCTGGGTCCGACACTGCACATCCACGGCGTCCATCAGGAGCCTCCCATGCAGCCAAGGAGATGATGGGAACTCAGGGGTTAGTGCAGACTCTAGCCCCTTCCTTGCAGACATCTCTGTGTTCTGGCCCCCAAAGGGCCTGAGTCCCCACCACTGGGCTCTCCCGGGCCCTGGGATGGGCCATCCTTATAAACCACAGAAAGCTTAGAATAAGGAGCAGCTGTCCAGGGACAGTCAGACAGGGCTGTGCCTGGGTGGACTCCAAGGGTCTCTAGAGGCAGGGCCAGTCTCAGGCCCCAGCCCCCAGGGGGAGGCACACAGTTGTCCTGCTTGCTGTCACCTGGGTGCACTCAGGGAAGGTTGTACTACCACGTAGGCCAGGTATAGTAGCCAACCTTTAGGGCCTGGGTCAGCCCTGCCCCTCAGCATCCACCTGTCAGGTGACAACAGCACATGGGGCTTCCTTGGGCAGCACGGGGACAGGGACCCGTTTCTGCCCCCTCAGCACCTCTGGGCCCTGAGCTGTCTGAGACTCATAGAATCAAAGAACCGGATACCAAGGATGGGAGCCATCCAGTCCAATCCCTCCATGCAGCCTGCTGAGAGGGGGCACCATCTGCTTCTTCACCTCTCAGACAGAGAGCTCATCACCTCTCAGAGGCAGCCCCTGCAATCTTGGGGCTGCTGTTTGGAGCAGGGGAGGGCGGTCCCAGCAGGTTCTGTGTGATGCAGAGAGGGCATGTTTGATAGAGGCTGAGGAGTACAGCACATGGAATTTTCTTTCTTCTGTCCAGGGAAGGCCTCTTGACCCAGATGGAGCCCCCTGGGGTGGTCTAGGAGGGAGGGGTGGGGCAGAGGCAGTGGGTGGAGCAGGAGGCTTGAGGAGCCACCCCGGGAGCCCTGGCTGGGTTCCGTCTAGGCTGCTCCGATGTCATCATAGTCGTCATTGTCAGTAGAGTCAGGCTGGGGGCTGGGGGACCCTGTGGGACCAGGAGGCTCAGGTCAGCCGCAGGCCCAGCCATTGCCTCTGCTGCCCACGGGGACAGAGCTGAGCGGGGCTGAGTTCACATCCCCCACCCCCACGATGCTGCCTGAAAACATCTTATTCTCTAGCTCACTGCCATGTCCTTCTCTAGAACGTCAGCTGTGAGGGCTGAGCCCTCATCTGCCCGGTTCACGGCTGTAGCCCCGTACTGGCATGACGAACAATTAAATACTGGGAGCCCCTCTGCAACAACACTCTCCCGCAAGGGGGCATCTGGCTGATTCTGCTTGAATGCCTCCACCAACAGGGAGCTCACTTCCTCTCAAGGCAGCCGGTTCTACCTCTTTGAACCTTTCTTCATCCCATCCACATCCATTTTCCCACCTCCTCACATTCTCTTTTCGCTATTTAAAAAATAAAAATCCCTTTCCCTCTCTTTCTTTCCTTTCCCATCCCTTGGGATGATGTAGTCAACCAGTCCAGAGCTCTCCCATCCATCCATTCCCCAGCCCTGTTTCCCTCCCAGGACCCCCGTTCCCAGCCTGTGGCACCTGGGCACTCAGATTGCTGCACCAAAAGGGGCTGGGGCGGCGGCTGGAAGTTCTGGTACCACTCCCCGGACGATGTGCTGGAGCTGTCGTCAGCCGAGGGCCCTGCTGGAAGCCCTGGAGCATCACCCTCTGCCAGGAGACAGCTGCTCACAAACTGCCAACAGTGGGAGGCCCTCCCCGCTCAGGGGACCCAAGCCCTGCTTGACGAATGAGGAAAAGAAGGCCCAGAGAGGGTAGAGACTGGTCCAGGCAAGTGGCTGCAGAGCTGGGGCTAGAATCCAGAGCTCATTGCTCAGGAGACCCCTGAGGTGCCCAGCTTTGGGCTCCCTCTGGCCTGCTTGACTGGAGGGTGGGAGGCTGGGGGATGCACAGGAAGCCTCCTGGGCCCAGCTTACCTGAAAGAATCGGCTGGGAGCCAGCCAGCTCCAAGTTAGGGGGCTGATGCAGGAGGAGGTTCTTCTCTGAAGAAAAGACTTGGGGGTTCCATGCAGGCAGCTTGCTGCGGGGGCTGTTACAGTAATCCTCCCCGGAAGATGTGCTGGAGCCACTGCTGTGTCCTGGGTGGTGCTGAGGAGCCAGGGTAGGGGGATCTGCAACACAATGTCCAGGAGTTGGCAGGTGGGACCTGGAGGCATGGGCCTCTTCAAGTCCTGGGCCAAGAGCAGGAGAATGGTGAAGATAGAAGAAGCAATGCAGCAAGTGGGCTTTAAGTTAGACTTGAGAAAGAACTTACTGCCAATAAAGAAAAACCAAACCCATTGTTGTCGAGTCGATTCCGACTCATGGTGACCCTATAGGACAGAGTAGAACTGCCCCATAGGGTTTCCAAGGAGTGGCTGGTGGATTCAAACCTGCCACCAGGGCTCCAAGTTAGGAAGGACCTGTTGCAAAAGGTTGCTGCTGGTGCTTCTCACAGTAAGCTGAGCTACTAAGTGTGGAGGCAGGACTGGTATCCTACTCACCCTCCCCCCTTGCCCCTCCCCAACCAGACTCACCTTCCTCCAAGGGGGGCATCTGGAACCTGCTCTGCTGGGCTTCGTCATCGGTGACCCGGTGCCGCTGGGAATCTGCAAGCAGAAGGGGCAATGGGGAGGGGTGAAGGCTCAATCCCCTTATCCTGGGAGTCTGGAAGGGAGGGTTGGGGGTCCTGGGGGCTTGGGAGGGTGTGTCTGAGTCTGAACAGGGATGAGAGGAGACAGCTCCAGATGTACGAGGGGCTTCCCATCAGAGGGAAGGGATCAGAGGGCTGACTGCCATCAGATCCCAGGCTCACATCTCAGTCCAGGCAGACCCCTAACCTCATACTGGGGCAGGCCCATCTCCACCTGAAACCAGCACAAAGTAGGCTGCTGGTGGCAGGTGCCCTGCAGCCCACTCCCCAGGGGCCCCTCCTGCAACTTGGGAACATATCAAGAGTCCTGGATTCTCTCAAGTGCCCTGGTGGCTCTGGGCAGGATGAGGGCAGAAGTTTGCCCTTCGAGGAGCTTCCTGGAGCAGAAGACAGATGGGCTGGGTTCTTTGCATCACAGGCCCTGCGACACCCCAAGTTTCAGTCAGAGAAACTGAGATTCAGACAGTTTTAAACGTTTGAGTCTCTGATTCTGGAGTCAGCCCTATGGACCCTCGGTGCCACTTGCTTTTGGTCTCAGTGGCACACAATTTTGGTATCTCAGGGTCTTTTGAATCACACACACTCGGGCTCAGAATCCTCAGGACACCTTATTCCTGTGGTTTCAAAATACAGGTCCCTGGACTGGCTGAGGTGGGATCATCCACATCTGACCCCTTGAGGCCCTGGTTCACTAGCTCCCCAATATCCGTCCTCCCCTCCTTCTGTACTAGAAGACCCTCTGGCCTTTAAGTGGACCACAGCTGTCCAGGATATAGGCTGTTTCCCTCCCTCTCTTGCAGCTAGTGTGTTTATGGTCCAGCCAAAGGCACATAAGTGGAAATGATGTGGGCATCTTGGGGCTCCTGCCTTAGGGGGCAAGGTGTGTCTGCTGGGTGGCATGGGGACATGGCGGTGAGCTCTTCTGGATCGTGAGGATGAGGGCAACATCTTAGGAATTACAGACCAGCAAGAAGGAAGGAGCCCGGGCCCCTGCCAGCTTCTCCAGTCATTTGAGGTCTCTGTCACACAGCCAAACTCTCATCCTAAGTTATAAAGACGTGGACTGGGGCTTGGGAATCAGAATTTTTGGCATGCTCCCATGTGATTCCACAAGCAGGGTTGGGGGACGGTCTCTGGTCTGGTCCAACCTCCCAGCATTGCCTGGCCCGACCTTAAGCACTGTCTCTCCTCCTCCTGCCTTCCAGCAGCAGAGGGAAGAGCTGGAAAAGCCGGGTAACAGGTGAGAGCTGGGGTAACAGTGGAGGGAGGGGAGGGCGGAGATGGGGTCAGGCAGGGCAGAAGGGGGCACCAAAGGGATACGAATGAGCAAGAAGCACCAGAACTGTGTCTGTCCCCTGAGCTCACATAGATGCGGCCACTCAGGTGAACACTGAAGGCCTGGGTGTGGTCTTAAGACCCTGTGTGGCCAGAGACAAACATGGGAGAGAGGGGGTTGGAGTGAAAAGATGGAAGGGAAACTCAGCTGATGGAGCCGTCTCTTAGAACACTCGGGCCAGGGTCACAAGGCACTTTGGAAACTTCAGTGCAGGGCCACTTACAGTCAACCCAGTGGGCAACAAGGGGGCTCCACCCATGTGGAGGAGTCACCAGGTGGAACCCACTGAAAATCCCCTGGCCTGGGACAGGCGGTGGGCCTTCAGGAGCCAGGCCCAGGCACTCACTGTAGAAGGTGGTCAGGGCCACAGGAGGCTGGGCGCTGAAGTCATAGTGCTCATAGTCCGAGTCAGAGCCGGAGTCGGAGTCCTCGGGGGGCGGGGCCCGGACCTGGATGGGCAGCTTGGGAACTGGGGAGACAGCAGAGTGGGGGCATGGCAAAATGGCAGGCAGAAAGGACAGGGAGGGGTAACAGAGAGCATGTATGGCCAAAAGGAGGCCGAGAGGCCGGGAGAGCGCCATCTAGCCTGGATTTCCCAAGCCGCCGACTCCATCCCACCTCAAATATGGGGAACCCACTAATAGTTATCTGTTTAACAAGCACTTACGTAGCACTCACTACATGCTAGGTACTATTCGAATATTTACAAATATCATCTCATTTCATCCTCAAAATCAGTCTGTGGTGGAGGTACACTATCAGCCCCATCGTACAAGGAGGAAATTGAGGCACAGAGAGGTTAATCACTTTGCCCAGAGAAGCAGGCAGTCTGGCTCTTCACCTCTACACCATGTGCTCCAGTGAGCAAATGCCTTGTGCCCGGTGCTGTGTTCATACTGTCTTCGCAAATGTATCGATACTGCATGCGGAGTATTTATAATATTTGGCTGAGTTTTGTCTTGGTTTTCATGCCACTGAACTCTTCCAGATAAAAATGATTTAACAGACGTATAACGCAACGTGATTAAACTTGATTGGCTACGCAAGAACTTTAAGAGGTATAAATTTAGATATCTATTAATTTTTTTCATTCAGAAAATATGAAATAAAATTATGTTCCAGGCAAATCTTAATGGGGCCCATTAATGGTTAAATGGGCTGTCGAAACCACTAGCCAGTCAGCATACCCCTTGCCATCGAGTCGATTCCGACTCATAGTGACCCTATAGGACAGAGTAGAACTGCCCCATAGAGTTTCCAAGGAGTGCCTGGCGGATTTGAACTGCCGACCTTTTGGTTAGCAGCTGTAGCACTTAACCACTACACCACCATGCTTTCCAGCCAATTAGCATAGGAGTACTTTTCTCTGAGAACCAAATCAAAAATGCCCTTGGCCTACATTGGTCCAGAACTTGAAAGCCTCAAGTCCCAGGATGACTGAACTGGAAGGGTCATCTGCCCATCAAGGCCCAGAGAAGGGGCTGGACCTGCTCAAGGTCCCACAGCTACCAGTGGGCTGGCCCAGGTCTCATCTCCAGCTGGGGCACCATTTTGATTCAAGTAGTACTGACCCTCCAGAAAGTATACCTTCCTGTCCTCCCCAGCCCTCCCCACCTCCAGGATGGCTGGTGTCCTACCTTCTTCTTTGGGGATGGTGATGGAGGCCTCTTGATAGCTATTGATTCCTACTGGGGTGGTGGTGGGTAGGTGCTGGTGGTTTGCCATAATGGGGAGGGCTGAGGGGGGGAGGCAGAGTATCTACAAGTCATTACAAGTCTTTTCACGCCCTCTCCCAGTCTACCTGGTTCTGTTCTCACCAAAACACCTCCCTCCTCACTCTACCCTCCACACACATAGTCTGTTCCTCTCTGGTGGGTCCACCAGAGAATCCTCCCCATCAGGAGATGCTCCCTGGGGCCAGTGCTGGGTGGACTCATTGCTGGGCCACTGCCCTCCTTGCTGGACTTCCCACAAACCCTCGTAGTCCTCTGGAACAGTCACACCGCAGGCCTGCTTCTTCCTGTCCCTGGGCCCGCCCCCTGCTCCCAGAACTCTGCACCTACCGTATTTTCCTTTAACTTTCAAGAGGAGGAAGACTATGGAAATGAATGAGCCAAGGAGGAGGATTCCCAGAATGATGCAGGGGATAAGGAGTATTAGCTGCAGAGATTCCTTGTCCTCCATTCTCACTGTCACAGAAGATTCTGGAAGGTAGAACCCCAAGTCAGGGAGAAAGCAGAATGGGCACAGACTTGTCCTCGCCCTTCTCCTGGCCGCTCCATCCCCTCTACAGCTGACCCACTTCCTCTTTTCGCCCATCTTCCTCTTCCTTTCCTTTTGTCAATCTCTGCCATCTGCTTTTAGGTGTCTAGTATAGAGCTGGTGCTCAATAAATGCATATTGAATGAATGAGTCATTGACTGAATGAATTTATTGCCTGAAACGTTCCCCTGGCTACCAGCCCACAGGGATCGCTCTCTCTTGTCCTCCAGTACCATCGTTTTATGTACCATGGTGTCATTGTTCAACTGACAATTACTGAGCGCCCACTGTGTGCCAGGCACTAGACTGTGAATAGGGATACGAATATGATACCATTGTCACAGGCCTCTTGGGGCCATGTCTAGTTGGGAGGCTGACAAGTAGACCCAATCCAATATGGGGAGATGCCTGCTGTGATGGAGATATGGAAAGGGACCTCAGAGGCAGGAGACCCAGCGAGGGCCACTAATTCCCTATGGAGCAGGATCACGGCTGGCTTCCCAGAGAAGGCCACCCTCGGCAAGGAAGAGACCATCAGGAGAGCAAGATCCCGTTTCTGTGCCTGGGACCAAGCCTTCCAGCCAGGCATGTGCTCTATCTTTGCTCTGCTGTGTCTCCCTGCCTTCCCCTCCCTCTTGCCTCCAGTGGAGTCCATTCAGATTCAGAGCGACCCTATAGGACAGAGTAGAACTGCCCCATATGGTTTCCAAGGAGCAGCTGGTGGATTCGAACTGCTGATCTTTTGGTTAGCAGCCAAGATCTTAACCACTGCACCACCAGGGGTTCCTCTCAGAGTTGGGTTCCTCATCCCCAACTCTGCTTAAAAGAACCAGAAGCGCAAGAATGCAAGGAGGTCAGTTTGAAGGGTCGTGAAAGCGTCAACCCGGAGAGCGGAGCGGATGAGCATCCTGATGTCCTGCTGTGAGGA